TAAACTAGCTAAGTTTTATCCTGACGTCGAATGATTGTTGGAAATGTCATAACAATGTTGGTTCATTCTTTCATATGTGGTGGACGTGTGATAAAGTTAAAAAATACTGGTCTTGGAAACGTGAACTTTTACAAAAAGTCTTAAATTACTGTACCTTATACACCAAAATTGTTTTTGTTGAATAGAATACCAGAAAATTATAAAATAACATAGTTTTATCTTGTTATACATATTGTAACAGCGGCAAGAATTGTATATGCTAAATGTTGGAGAAGAAGGGAAGTTCCTTCAAAAGAAGGAGTTATAAGCAAAATATTGGAAACAGCTGAGATGGATAAATTAACTATAACTTTAAAAGGAAACAAAGAAGATTTTGAGGACACATGGTCAAAATTCTATGAATGGATAAAAGAGAATAATACTTAAAATTCCTCGGCTTTCAACCGAAATAAAAGAAAATCAACTGTTAGTAAAAGACACTTATTAGCGTTATAAGGTGGAAAAATATAAACTTTCTAGCTACAGTATGAGGCCAAGGACTGTGATAAAAATGATACAATGGAATTCCTCCTTTATATGTATTTTTGTGTGTATGTGTCTTTGCTTGTCTTATATATATGAAATTTAAAACTTTACATAAAAAAGGCCAGTCTCCAAAATGTGGTAATCAGTTTATTGTGAAAACCTGTATTCAGTTATGTAACTATGAGTGAGAGGAAATTAGAAGGAGAAGAGGAGATTGGATTTATACCCCACCCTTCACTCGGAGTCCCAGAGTGGTTAACAGTCTCCTTTCCCTCCCCTATAAGAGACACACTGTGAGGTAGGTGGGGCTGAGAGAACTCTTTTGAGGACTACTCTTGAGAGAACAGCTCTGAAGTAACTACTGACTGACCCAAGTTCACACCAGCAGCTCAATGTGGAGAAGTGGGGAATCAAACCTGGTTCTCCCATATTAGAATCCACACTCTTAACCTCTACACCAAATTAGGAGGGTGCTGACAGCCTCTGAAAAATTCCCTCAAGAAGGACCCTTGATTGGGTCTTTAGGATCACCTGATCTTAGGGAGAGGTAGAAAGTTCAGGGTTCATTTCCTGCTGGAGCGCACAGGAGCAACACTCCGGCAGTAAGGAGCCCAGGGGGCGGGCACATACAGCAAGCAACACCCCCTGCTCCCAGCAGCCCTCAGTTGGGCCATGAGGAGCAAAAAGAAGAAGGTAAGTTGAAGAGCCCCCCCCCCTCGCCTTTCCCTGTCCGCTTCCAGCTGTGGGGCCCAGGAAAAGGCCTGCCTGCCCACCCCTCACCTTTCCTGGCCTGCACCCAGCCAAAAGGGCCAAGGACAAGAAACAAAAACCAGTCATCGAGAGGTTTATTTTAGTGATAAATGAACCAACGGTTGGCACCCCGGAAGATTCCTCTTCACTGCTGAGTGACCTCACCCTGCCATCCTGCTCTTCTTCATGTGCATCCAAAGAGAAGAAAGAGCCATGGCACCCTTGATGTGTCTATACATGTGTGGGGACTTCCAAATGGCTTGGGGGGGGGGGCAAGTGCTCTGTCTGCCACCCAACCCCTGGGTCGAAGACCACAACTCTAGATCATTGGGTTTTGTTTAGGCAAAAATTAGCCGATGTGATTTCGTCGTTGTTCTGGATCCAGACCTGTCGACATTATTTAGTTAAAAATGGACAACCTGCTTTTCATCTCTGAAAGTGACCTTGTTGTGGCTGAAATAGCACGAAATGGCAGTGATATAAAACCCACAGCCAACTGTAACAGAGAGGAAGGCTGCCAGTCAAACAGAAAAGGAACACTAAAAGCACCTCAGCCGTCAATGCCAAGGAGAATAAAATATATTGACCTGCTTTCCTGGTACCCCCCCTCTTTACCTGACATGGGTGGTTGGCTTGTTTTCCCCCACGTGGGCCATCAGGTAGGCTCGCCAGCTCTGAGTTGGGAAATACCTGGAGATTTTTGGGGTGGAGCCTGAGCAGTGGGTGTTGCCTTCTGACACACTTCTGGTGATGTCAGAGGGTGTGGCATATGCAAATAAGCTATGCCGATGAGTTATGCTGATGAGCTCCTGCACCTCTTTTTCTACGAAATGACCCCTGGAAAGGATAATATGGTTGTAGACCAGAGGGAAGCCATGCTAACTTTATGCTCACGCCTTGCTAGTACGCCTTGATATGTGTCGCTTCAGTACAATGAATCATTATCTGTAGAGTAACTTAGGCTACAGCTGGAATTCTTGTGCCGCAACAAGAGGTGCCATCTAATACTATTTCATGTATCAGATAGAGCAGTTAGCTTTTCTTGTTTTTCTGTTGCTGAGGTGCAGGAACTGTCCTGTTTAGTGCTATCTTATTTTAAAACCATTAATAAACCTTTATGTATTTTAATAAGGGGTCTGTTTTATTTATTTATTTATTGTTTGTTTGTTTGTTTGTATTTATACCCCGCCTTGCCTAACAAGCAGGCTCAAGGCGGCTAACAAGATTAAATAACGTGACAAAAAATTAAAACAATAAATACAATATCAGTTAAAACAAAACTCGTGGGCACTCCATGAAATTGCTGAGCGGTCGGGTTAGAAAGGATAAAAGGAAGTACTTCTTCACCCAAAGAGTGATGAACACATGGAATTCACTGCCACAGGAGTTGGCGGCGGCTACAAGCATGGATGGCTTCAAAAGGGAATTAGAGAAGCATATGGAGCAGAGGTCCATCAGTGGCTATTAGCCACAAGGTATAGATAGGAATTCTTGGTCTGGGGCAAGTGATACTCTGTATTCTTGGTGCTTGGGGAGGGGGAACAGTGGGAGGGCTTCTAATGTCCTGGCCCCACTGCTGGACCTCCTGATGGCACCTGGTATTTCTGGCCACTGTGTGACACAGAGTGTTGGACTGGATGGGCCTTTGGCCTGATCCAACATTGGCGTCTCTTATGTTCTTAAGTAAACAAGAACAATTACAGAACCAACTATGGTGGTAATCCAATCAAATCCCAAAATAGGGGTAGTAACCAGCGCACGCTCCTCATGAACCCACTCAACTGGGTCTCATCCCCTTTGCCTCAAGCCACGACACCTTCTCTGGCTTGGGTGATGGCCACAACACTGGCCTCAGTTGCTCCTGGGAAAGCACACACACATGAACACAGGAAGCTGCCTCGTACGGAATCAGACCCTTGATGCTCTGAAGTCAGTCTTGTCTGCTCAGTCCACCAGTAGCTCTCTAGGGTCTCAGGCGGAGGTCTTTCACATCACCTCCTGCTCAATAATCCTTTTAACCGGAGACGCTGGGGATCGAACCTGGGACCATCTGCATGCCAAGCAGATCCTCTGACAGTGAGCCACAGCCCCTCCCCAAGTAGGGGGGAAGGCCTCAAACTGATGTATTTCTATTCGATATTTTGAAGAGAAGAAGAAGAGATTGGATTTATACCCCACCCTTCCCTTGGAGTCTCACAGTGCTTACAAACTCCATTCCCTTCCCCTCCCCACAACAGATACCCTGTGAGGAAGGTGGGGCTGAGAGAGCTCTGAGAGAACTGATCTTTTCAAGGACAGCTCTGGCAGAACTATGGCTTGACCAAGGTCATCCAGCAGCTGCAAGTGGAGGAGTGGGGAATCAAACCCGATTCTCCCAGATTAGAGTCAGTGCACTTAACCCCTACACCAAACTGGCTCATCTCAGTGGCATCAATATGCACCTCTGGCACCTATGAAAGTTCCTTACCCAGAAAGGCCACATTCCCATAGTTCTCCAGCATGACTTCCCTGTACAGAGCTCTTTGTCCCGGATCCAGCAGGGCCCATTCTGCCACAGTGAAATAGACGGCCACCTCCTCCAAGGCAAAGGGACACTGGAAGAAAAGGCGGATTCTCTCATCAGAGACTGCACACTGGAAGGGAGTAGTCTGGGAAGGTACGGTGTGGGTAAGGGGAACAGTGTTCAGAGGATCTCTCGCCCAGATGCATCGTAGAAACCGCAGGCGCAAAAGCCCTCCTGAGAAAGGAGGAGGGACTCAGGCTACCCCCTGCGCATCTTTCCTACCTGGACTGGAGGCGCATCAGCCATTTCCACACCTCTGAAAAGACAACGGCTCAACAGCATCTCTTCACCGCCTGTTATTGAGACAAAGGAGGAAGGAGGGGTGTTTGCTTGTTTCTTCCCTGCTGCACACAACCCCTTCCCAGGGTAGTTGAAACATTACCCTCCCTGTGTACACTCAACATATTTTTAAACATTTTTACTAAATTCTGGGAGGCAGAAGAGAAGCACTAGGTGTGTTTGAGTCTCAGGGGTTATAAATGCTGCAGACATATATCTCAGACTTCTGTCTGGACTGGGGGGCGGGAAAGAGAGGGGTGGAAATGACATTGATTGGCACATCACCGTCACATCTGGCCCAGAAGTGACTTGAGCACATCTGGAGACTCCAGGGTCATATGAATGAGTTTTCAGAGCGTCTCTTGGCATGCTTGCTTCACAATCGGGTTTTCAGCCAGACGCAACAAAAACGTGACATCGCATCAGCCCCAAGACGCACCCCAAGGCCCTCCACAAAGCTCCTGGGGGTGCCAGTCCACAGCCCGCCATCCCTCCTCCAGCATCTGGTTTCACACAGGAGCCCGCCAGCCCACAAGAAGCCAGATCCTCCCATGATGATTGGGCCCTCGGGACTGGTTCTCAGAGCTCTGCTGCCCCATAAAGGGTTATTCACCAGGTGTGTCTACCTTTCCAATTTTGAGCCACCTTGAGCTCCTCTTATGGAAGGAAGGTGAGATACGAATATTAAAATTTATGAGAGGAATTGCCCTCCATGAATCTGTCTCATTCCCCTTCGAGAGAAATCACAATTAGTGGACACTGAGTGCCACAAATTAACTCTGTGTTGTGTAAAGAAGTATTTAATTATTTTCCTGACCTGAACTCTCTACCCATCAAACTCACTGGGGAGCCCTGAACACACCCAGGCACAAAGACACCTTACCACAGGAGAGGGCATCTTGGGCACTTTCCTGGGCCTGCCCCCTCTGCCCTTGCTCCAAGGAAGCTCCTTCTGCCTCAGGGAATGTCGCTTCTGTCTTCACGGATGGTGCCCACATCTGAAACAGCAGCAAGGGAGAGGAGGTAAGAGATGGAATGGAAAAGAGACCAAAGAATGGATCCTGCCCCACTCCCAGACTCTGCACCCTTCCATCAGCAGACCTGGTTAGTTATTGAGTTATCTGGAGGGATAAGAAATTGTCTATTAGAAGAGGCTGCTGAAGGAGGCTGTGAAACCTCCCATTTGGATGAGAAACACTTTGACAGATGTCTGGCAAGGAACCTTTAGGGTAAGGCCAGATATCATTGCTTGAATTGGAAATATCTGGAGGGAATCCCCTCACCTGTTCTGCCTGCCTCTTCTCCTCTGCTTGACTCAGGAGGAAACCTTCGGCCAGGGCCACCGCCTGGGAACTGGTCTCTGGACCACATCCTCTGACCCAGCACTGCATTTCCAGGGGCAGGATGGCCAGGAACTGCTCCAGGATCACCAGGTCCAGAATCTGCTTCTTGGTGCTCCTCTCCGGCTTCAGCCACTGGCTGCAAAGTCCATGGAGCTGGCTGCAAACCTCTCGGGGTCCATCCGCCTCATGGTAGCGGAATTGCCGGAAGCGTTGGCAGTGTGCATCTGAGACTGCGGTGAGCTGATAATGGATATCTGGCACCGGGCTTTCCCAGAATTCAACACCACTCCCAGTTTGGGTGGCATGGGGGCTGTCTTTCCAGTTCTTTGCTGTCTTGCCAGTTCCAGGTCCTTTTGGGTTCTCCTCTTCCATCTCTTTCCCCTTCTCTCGTCACCTCTGACTGTGGAAAGATGTCTTTAGTCACTTGGCTATGAAGAGAGCCTTCCCTCTGGGGAAAGGAGGGACACAGGCAGGAACATGGAAAATAAAAGAGAATGGAGATACAGCACTGAACATCGCAAACCTTCATAGGCTCAGGAGACACAAGAGAATTGTCCTGGTGGATCAGAACAAAAGGACTTCTTGTGGTCTGTAGACCAGGGTTAAGATCATTTTTCTATATTACAAACCAAGCTATTTGAGATATGCCTCCATGGTTCTTTGGGAAAGTTAGGTTTCTCTGTTTGGCTCTTTCAGGATGTTCAAAAGCTTAGCCTCTCATTAAATTGGCTCAGTCTGTCCTAGGGGCTGATTCTTACGGTACACCGAAAAGCACAAGAGGGATTTGTGACCTCTTCACCATTGTACATATCTCTTCGACAGGTCTGAAGTGTTAGGCAAGAGCTCTGTCTGGGCAAGAGCGCCCAGCTGAGGGAAAGGGGCAGGAATGTGTCTGTGGGAAGAACAAGCAGCTGAGAGAAAGGGAGACAGGCTGAGACTTGGCTCAAGAACAGAGGTGCAGAAACGCTCCCTCTGGGCATCTGATGTGTGGCAGTGGACCTCCTACGCTGTGGGAATTCCTCCGGCTTCCACCCCTGCTCAGCTCTGCCAGGATATCTGTTCTTAAAGCTAAGAGTACCAAGACACCAGGAGGCTCCGGGGCTCTCTTCTTCCAAGGGGAACCAACCCAAGCAAACAGGATCCCTGGGAAGTTCTTTCCCCTTGAAGAAGCCGGGCAGAGGTAACTAGTCTTTCCTCCAGAGAAGAACCACAGTTTTCCCTAGCGTCACATCCAAAATCACCCTGACAGAAGAAGGACCGTCTTCCAGAGGCCAGCCTCTCTTGGGAACAAGCCTAAGCCCAGCCCTTGAGCAACTCTGGATGGCCACGAAGTGTGTCAGGAGATATGCCCACCCAGGGGCTGCTGGGACGGAGCCAGAGGAGACAACAAACTCTGCCGAATGCACAAGGTTGCCAGTCTCGTTTCGGAAATTCCTGGGAATGTGGGGCTGGAGCCTGGAGAGGGCAGGCGATAATGGCACAGAGTCCCCCCTCCAAAGCAGCCATTTCCTGAACACACAAACTGCACTCTGGAGTCTGGAGATCAGTTTTGATTGGAGACCATCTCCAGGCTCTTCCTGGACCCTGGAACCCCTGCGTCAGGGAGACGGTGGATGGAGGGGGGGGGGGGGCCCCGCCAAAGCGCTTGGCATTCGGGCCCTCCAGTCAGCATGAAGGAGTCATCCCCCTGGACACCAACAGGCGAGCTTTGTACTCTTGCTGGCACCTTCCTTAGCGGAACCTGAACCCACCGCCCGTGTGACTGTGCCCTTGTGCTTCTCTCTCCTGCCCCTCTCTCTCCTGGCAAAAGGAGGCCCTTCCTCCCGCCCAAACCCCAGTGCAGGACGGAGAATTTGGCACTGTGTTAATTGCTGCCTCTGCCAAGCGAGCGGTGGAGTGGCGGGGCAGGGGCAATGCGGTTGGAACAGCCGTGCCCCTTCCCTGTGCCTCCACTTTGCAACACACGGCTGCAGGCGGGCACAGGAACCCACATCTGAGGCACTCCCTGGTTTGTTTTCTCCAGGAGTCCTCACCGTGATGTGTGCCCGTGTGCCACTGGTTCCTCCCGGCCTCGGGTCCGTGGGAGGCAGATACTTGGTGGGGAAAGGAGAGGGATAAAAATCTAAATAAATAAATAAATAAAATCCCAGGGTGTGTGGCCACAACAGCATGATCTGCCCCTCTCTGCCTGTTGGAGGGGAGTCTCCTTGAGCCGAGAGCCAGTTTGATATAGTGGTTGAGTGCGCGGACTCTAATCTGGGAGAACCGGGTTTGATTCCCCATTCCTCCACTTGCACCTGGCTGGATGACCTTGGGCAAGCCATAATTCTGGCACAGCTGTTCTTGAAAAAGAGCAGTTTCTGTCAGAGTTCTCTCAGCCCCACCTACCTCACAGGGTGTCTGTTGTGAGGAGGGGAAGGGAAAGGAGTTGGTAAGCCACTCTGAGACTCCCTTGGGTAGTGAAGGGAGGGGTATAAATCCAATCTCTTCTTCTTTTTGTGCTGTGATGGGTGGGCGTTGGTGGTGCTTCCATGTTCTTTGCTGGCTTTGCTCTCTGCACATTCATTACCCATTTTTTAAAAAAGATTTTCCTCCCCTCTGCTGGGCGGGCCTTGGACACCTGGTCACAGCCAGTGTTCCCTCCAAGCTGAGTTAGTGTGAGCTAGCTCACAGTTCTTTAGCCTCCAGCTCACTCATTTTTATCTTAGCTCAGGAAGGATGGCTCCAGAGCAGGCTAATCTATGCAGGAGCCCAATCGCTCGCTCACAGCTTTAATGCCAGTAGCTCACAAAGTAGAATTTCTGCTCACAAGATTCTGCTGCTTAGAGGGAACATTGGTCACAGCCCCAGCCCCACACTGAGAAAGCATCTGGGTTTCAGGATGGGGCTGCAGTTGATTCCAAATGCAGGCAGGAGTTCCCTTCCCCCACACCCCTTTTTGACCCATGCAACCGGGAAAAGGCCTGCTTCTTGTTGGCTGGTTTGCAGATTAAAATGACCAGCGACAGAATGTCAGACTCATCCATTAGGAAAGAGGAAAAGAGTGAGAGTCCAGCAGCACCTTAATGACTAACAAGATCTGTGGGGGGGGCAGGAGATTTTGTGAGTCGCTGCTCCCCTCTTCAGACAGAGCGAGAACGGTGTCTTGCAGAGCGGAGGGATTTCATATACGAGGACAGGTGGACTCCCATTCTAGCTGTATCTGAAGAAGTGAGCTGTGTCTCATGAAATCTCATTTCCCCCGTCGCAAATCTTTCAGGCGCTCCTGGACTCCTGCTCTTTTCTCTTGCTCCAGACAAGCACAGCTACCCGTCTCCATCCCTACCTTTAACCTTATCTTGTACCGAAAGACATTATCACGGCCCCCCCCCACGAAATTCCGCTCACAGAGCGACCCAAAACTAGTGCCTAACAGGGTTGCCAAACCTCCCGGTGGGGCCTGAAGTTCTCCCAGAATTCCAGCCGGCCTTCAGTAGACAGGGATCAATTCCCAGGACTAAATCGTCGCCTTGGAGGGAGGACTGGGTGGCCGCCTCGGTCCCCTCTGGGGTCTACCCCCCCCCCATCCCCGGCCCCCAACCCGGCCCTTCCCCAGAATGCGCAGACACACCCCCCCCCGAAATGTCCAGGAATCTCTGCAGTCCTGCTGCGGGCAACCTTGGCCTCCCTCCCTCCCTCCCGAGAGCTCAAAGCTTCTCCCCCCGACGACTCACTCCGAAGGAAACCTGCCCGCGATCCGGCTGCGGCGAGGCTTTCCCCGGCTGCTGCACACCTGAAGCCCTCCCCGGTCTCTTGCAAAGGGAAACACCCCCCCCCCAAAAAAAAAGAGCCTTTCCTCCTTTCCGACCCCCGACCCCTTGCTCGGCCACTCTAGCAAAGCGGCCCTGTGGTGTTAACCCTTCCGGGGCTGCAGAGGAAGGGAAACTCTCCCCTGCCTCTCCAGGATGCGCTTCGGCCAGGTGGCCGTCCGCGACCCCCGATGCAGCTCAGTGGGGCTGATCCGGAGGAACTCTGCACAGGGGAAGGGGGGCTGCGCTCCCAGGGGAACCAGCGCTGTTCAGCCGTCTCAGAAGAAGGAGGCTGAAGCCGGGTCCCAGGTCCTTCGTCGCCTCCCAGTTCCGTATTCATCCATTAAGTGTAAAAAGGTAAAGGGTTTCCCTTGCTTGAAAGCCAGTCGAATCCGACTCTAGGGTTGCAGTGCTCATCTCCGTTTCCAAGCCGAAGAGCCAGCGCTGTCCGAAGACGTTTCCGTGGTCATGTGGCCGGCATGGCTAAACACCAAGGCGCACGGAAGGCTATGACCTTCCCACCGAAGTGGTCCCTATTTATCTACTTGCAATTTCTTGCTTTCGAACTGCTAGATTGGCAGGAGCTGGAACTAGAGATGGGAGCTCACTCCGTCATGCGGCACCAGGGTCTCGAACTGCTGAACTACTGACCTTCCACAGCCTGCAGTTCAATGTTTTAACCACCTGAGCCACCGCAGCTCCTGGCCATTAAGTGTAAGGACCGTAAAACTCAATTGGGGGATGGGGATTATATATTGTGAGATAGTGCTATCTTTTTCACACACAAGCATGTCTTAATCATAATTTTCTTTTGCCCGGTGGAGAGAAAACGCAGGACCTCAAATGCAGAATCTTTCCTCCCCACACCCATCTAGAAGTGGGAGGAGGGTGCCCCCTGTCTTAAACAGCTCCTCACCCACTATAGTACGACGTCTAATGTGAACATGGACGCTAGTACCAGAGCTTGCAAGAAACCCGGGTGCCAACTCTGCTGCCGCAGACACCCAGACAACACAATCACTGCACCTGACAACATATTTGATGTTGTTTATTCAAGGGTAAATAATACCATGTGGGTTTGCCATTGAAGAACCTGACATTTCGCCAGTAGCTGTGACTGGCATCCTCAGAGGTATAACACAGAAAGAAGGAGTACTCTCTGTGTCAAGGTGAGAAGAAAATGGCAGGCAGGTCATTTATATCTACTCCAGAAGGTGGGGTAGGGCTGAATCACCGGAATGATGCATCCAAATTTTGAAATACAGCCTTTTGAGGCCTGCCCCACTGCTCCCCCCCCCATGGAACCCCCACGGTAGCAAAGGGGATGTTCAGCATGGCTAGGAAGAGTGACCTCCGTTGGTGTCTCAGGACCAGGGTTGTTGATGAGGCAGGTGAGGGAGGTTTCCTTCACTCAGTTCAAGCAGTGACTTTATCCAAAGGCTTCCCAGCCAGCTATTTCTACCTCTAGAAGATTCACTATATTGGGAGGAAAACCCAACCTTGATTCTTGCAAGTTGTGTTTGAAGCAGCTCTGCTGGTCAACGCAGGGATGAGGAGTGTGGGAGTGGGTCGGGATCCATCTTCTTCAGCCTGTGCCATTCCTTCTCTTGCTAGTCTCCCTTAGTGGTGTTGTTTCAGATGTAAGGACCAGCGGTGAAGATGGGTCAGGGCACCTGGTGAAGCTCTTCGGTGGAAGGTTTGGGACAGGAGGAAAAAACAACAACGAATTACTCTGCTCACTACAGAGTGGATTTCTGGGACTTAGTGCCACAGGACGTAGTGATGGCCGCTCACTTGAAGGGGGAGTATTTATTTATTTCTCAAATTTCTACCCCGTTCTTCCCAGCCAAGGCTGGCTCAGGGAGGAAGATTCATGGAAGGCGATCCCATTCTTAGTTATATTAAGTAAAATATTCCTACCTCAACTGTCCCTCCCACCTTCTCCAACCCCAGGGCCCTGTTTCCAGCCCACACTTTGGAAAGGTGAGCCGCACCCATGTCCGGAGGGGGCACCAACCCCCCACACTTGTCCTTCTCCATCCTCCGCAGGCACCTGCCAAGAGTGCACCCCACTATGTTGCAGCTGGAGGAAAGAGCGGCAG